TACGGGCGAGACTCGCTGCGGACAGGTCAGCCAATCATCGACGAGTGCTACCAGTGGAACGTTGTCATTGGTCCGGAGCGACGCGACACGCGCAACGCAGGACGAGCCAGTCGAAGTGCGCCAAAAACATGTCTAAACGAGCGTTTGGTATGACCATTGTGTGACCAACAACAAAGTGACCGAGATCGGCTAATCACGCGGCGCTAGACATGGCGACAATACCGTTGGTGCCGAAGTGGTATTAAAATAATGCACTTTGGCTCGGTGAACAGCGAGACGCCCATCACAAATTCACGATCGTTTATAGGCCAACATTTAGGCACAGACAGGCTGGCACCAGAGGGCCTCCCGCGCGCTTAAAATATACTCTTTGTTTTGATAATGAAACAAAGGGCTTTTGCCAAATGAAGCTCCCTGATAGTTACGACTTATGATGAAGTGCAAGAATGCGTCACAACAATTCAAAACGAACAGTCATACGCTACAGTATACTGTATATTTTCAACAAGATCCAACGAACGATTTGGAAAGGACAAGTACCACGATAATACTGAATACACAACACATCAGAAGAGTCGTCGCTAGATTTCACCGTCTCAAATAACGGTCGAAAGATTCATATTTTTATATAAATATTAACCTTGGTATCTGAGTTTACTAGCACTGTGCTAGTTTTCCTTACCGCGTGAAAGGGCAGCGTTCTCCATCATCTCCCCGTATTTAAACAGCTCAGTCACACTGCTTCCTTGTTTCTGGTTGCGCGAGGAATTCCTATGCTTTTAATAAGTTTACGACTGATGTTCACCAACTGCATCAATAACGCTAGGAAGTTACTACTGCAATTTAACGGGAGACTTGATTTAAGACGTACAGGTGATTATGAAATGAAGTCACAACAGCTTTGAAAAACGCTCACGTAGGCGTAACAATGCTTTGCATGAACAGAATTTTTCTAGCAGGAATTGGAAAGTCGAGTATCATGTGACTGACAGAGAGCACTCTATGAGTGCTCGTTGTAGATTGGCTGACGAGGAAAGAAGGAAACTCTGCAACTGTTGTCAGTTCCTCATACGCTTCCATATTTTGGAACCATTTCTGAAACAATAATTTTATGGAACTTGTGGCGAGACGGCAATCCCCGTGCGTCATGAACTAAGTAGCCATTATAAAGTGTAGTCCACTGTTTCCTTGCCACGAAATGGCATTCATTTATTTACATTGGAAAGATGAGTCTTAGGTGAAACGATTAGGGCTTGAATCCAGGACCTCTCGACTGCGAGCCTATCGCTTTACTCGCTGAGTCACCTTGCTCTAAGAACTTTGGTAAAGAAAGTATCATTATTTGCCATTGTAGGACAGAAAAGTAGATTGCCATTAATTCTAAAACGCTATGAGAAAAACAGAAAGATATTTCCATTTAAAATGATTGAGTATCTGGTAAAGAATGTGATTAGCAATGTACTTCACGAGTACTACATGCATGGCGCAGTATCGGCATTATGGTTCATGCCCAATTCTTTTGCAATCAGTTGGAGAAGTCAAAAAATACATTCACGCCTGCTCTGCGCATATTACCAGGTTATTCTTGTTTTATGCCGTTGTTCAGATCGTCTGTTCACTCTAATACTGTTCACAGGTTCATGACATCAATGGTATATCGTGAAGGAACTCTTTAGAAAGGGTAGTTTGATTTCAAATAGGACATAACTGGAACAGAACGTTCAGATGTTTTTGATTGGACCTTCTTCGATTTCCCCGTACATGCAAACCACGGCTCATAATAATGTATCTAGAAAATTGATGCTGGATGAAGAAAAAAACAGTTTTGTTTAAAGGTGCGACGACATCCATCTGTCGCCTGCAATAAAGCTGGGCATCTCGCTATCACCACGGTATGTATATTATGCACAAGACTAGGACACAACGCCTGGCAATAATGGTAAACATTTAGCTTTTGATGGTACTCCTAACGAACACCAGGAATGTGACGAATGATGATTTGGCATCTGATGCGCTCGTTTAATTTACTGTCTGCAAGTTTTTCTGGAAGGATTCCAAAACAGTATGTTTTGAATGTAACTTTACAGACTAGCGTGACGTCAGTTTGGGTGGGACGAAGTTCGCATGTCGTTAAATCGCCAGAGAAGGTCGTGTCAAGAGATCCTTTTTAATGTCGTCGACCAGGTGGAAGAAATACGTCGAAGGTCGATAGGTCATTGCTTGAAATACAAATCCACAGAGTGGCCGTTTTCACTTTTTCTAAATCTCGATGTTTAACTCAACCCGAACGACCGTCGTGTGCTTTGACAAAATTCAAGACATTTTATTTGCTAC